ACTGGAAAATATGTGATTTTTATGTTTTGCTTAATGAATCTGGGTTGTTTTGAACACATCGAATGTGATGAGGGAAGATGAAGAAGAAACTGTGTTATGTTATGGGAAAAATATCACAGGTAACAGATTTATCAAGAAAATGAAGGATTCATGTCTTAATTCTTGCAGATCTAACAAAGAAGATAAAAACATAAAGGAAAAAAAATAAAAACATATAAAGGAAATAAAGGAAAACAAATACCTGAAATAAGAGTTTCAATTGTTCCAGAAAAATAATGCACTTGTTCACTTGTTCCTGCTTGCTTCTTACTAATTGTTTACGAAGAAACGAGAGACCGTGATTTGAGAATTTGAGAGTAATGTGTGTAATGAAAAAAAGAAAAGTGTTTTCCTTTCTTTATCAAAAGGAAAACACTTTCCTTTGATAAAGTTAAGTTTTAAGTTTTGACCGGAATTAAGTTTCCATTGACTAGTTTTCTATATTGATGCCACACATGGGAAACTGAGGAAAATGAATTCCCGGAATTGGTTTTCCTCAGAAAAAACATGGCCTTTGAACTCCCGTGCTATCACTGGATAATGACTTTCGTTACCCTGAACAGTAGCCTTATAAAAATGCCATGTCTCGTTTGAACGTTTCCCTTGCAACAAGGTCAAACAGTTTGGCCATTTTATGCCCGCATATACGCCCCTTGCAGTTTGAAAAAGGATACGAATGCTTGATTTTGGAGACCTAAAACGATTGAAAACTAGCATTGAATTTATTTGGAAGTGTAGTTTTTTATTTAAAATATTTTTTATATAAAAATATATTAAAATATTTTTTTATTTTTTCTAAATTATTTTTAAGATCAATACATTAAAATAATCCAAAAATATAAAACAAATTAGTAATTTAATTAAAAAATCAATTTTTTTAGAAACATAAATTGACCCGCGTTTTCTAATGGGGTCTAAAATTGTTCCTTATCCACTTCCTTCTTCCTATAACATATTAAGGGATGTATATATTATATTGTATAATAAAAATTTAAATACTTAAAACACACACATGCATGTGTGTATATATATATATATAATTTTATTTTTTATTAATTAATAAATAATAGTTAATAATAAATACTTATAAGAGGTACAAAACCTAATTAATAATTTATGAATATCTAATTGATAATAATAGAATATAAATATTAAAAAATTCAACACGTGGGGATCCATTGACATCCCTAATTTCCAACCCCAAACACCTTCTATAAACATCTAAAACTACAAGGTCTAAAAATAAAAAATAAAAAATTTTAAGGACCAATTGAACTTTCATGAACACTTTAAGGATTATATTGATTTTTTTCCAAAATACAAGGACTAATACATGATAAAAATAAATTATTATGATTGAAACCTAAATACCCAAACTTATGGGGCTAAAAATATAAAATTAAAAAAGTTTAGGGATCAAATTGAACTTTTTAGTAACTTCAAGGATCAAATTGAACTTTTAAAGATTATCTTACTTGCCTAATATTATTAATTTGTCTTGTATTCTTTTCTATTATTTAATTTTATTTCTTTGATGGTTGTTTTAGTGATGTATATATTTAGACTAAATTGGTGTGCAGGCTACATTCAAGGTGCATACTGTTTTTTCAGTAAGATACTTAGGTGTCGCAAATATCTATATATATATTTTTCAATAAGATATAGTTTGACCAACTAAATAAATTGAATTTATAACAATGATAGCGAACCATTATATATATATATATATATATATATATATGTCATCACGATAATATGAAAGAAAAAACTTTACCAAAAAGCAAAACTAGGATGTTGTTTAATTTTTAGCCAATTAAATATGAAAGGAAAAAACATGATAAAAAAAAGATAAAAAAACACTAGTGTGAGTCAATTTGAGTTAACATGATAAATATGTAATCTGGACATTAAAATGCGAGCTAGTCTGAATTAACCTGACAAACTTGCTTTCTAAGTCATGAAGTTGAGAAAATTAAGTAGAAAAATAAATTGAAGATAACAATAAAGCCATTTAAAAAAACAATGTTGAATAACTATAAAAAAAAAATAAGAAAAAAAAAAGATGTTAACTCTCGCTAACTTTTTAAACCTATGAAATGGGTTATTTTACTAGAAGCACATGAGAAAATCATAAAGCCCAATCCTTAGAAAATGAAACGTTGCAGGATGACTCGGAACAAAAAAATAGATGAAAAAATCCAAAAAAACAATAATTAAAAGAATAAGGGTTAAAATTGTAAGAAATAATAAATTAAAGGACAACAATAGATTTTTAATTTTATAGTTAAATTGAAAACATTAACAAGAAGAAAAAAAATTAAAAGAGTAAGAATTAAAATAAAATAAAAAAATAGTATATGATCAACTTAGGTTGAAGGGTGAAATTAAAAACAATAAATTTTTTATAAAAATGGTTAAGAAAAAAATAAAAAATAAAAAGAATAATGATCGAATTGAAAATATCAATACATGATAAAAAAACATTGAACATGTAGAATTTTTCAATGCATTTTATAAACAAAACAAAATCTTAAATGTAAATAAAAAAATTTATAAATGCATATAATTACATAAATTTCAAACTATTTTGTAAATAAATTAAAAAAAATCCATCAACGAGAAATAAAAATAAAAATAGAAAAATTAAGTGAAAAATAAGATCAATATATTTAATATCATAATATAGGTTATTTGTTGGGTTGTGTTTAATAAATATATTTATGAAATATATGAGTTTATTGACACACACATGGATTTTATTGAATAAAATAAAAAAAATCTATATAGGGCTACACATATAAAAAATACTGTAAAAAAATATTTTTTTAATTTTTAAAAACAAGTTTAATCTATATAAAATATAAAAAACTATAGATAAATTATGCTAATCTCAGAAAGAAATTAAACATACTCAATGTAATTAAAAAATAATTTTTATTTTAAAAAGCTAGTTAACCCAAAGAAATCATATAAAAAAGGTATTAATCAAATATAAATGCAAAAATTATTTTTAAAAATACATATAAAAAGCAATAATTAAAAAAATAAAATAATAATAATAATAAAAAATGAGATAAGGTGCTGTGAGCCTAGTAAGCTAGGCCTAATGCTTGGCCTATAAAAAAAGGCTTGCATGGGACCTACAAGTTGTCTATTTTAGTGGTCAATGCATTAATTATGATTGTCTCGAATCCAACCACTTTCGTTGTTGAAAAAACAAGGCTCTTGCCTTTTCAATCTAAACATCTATTTTTAATTATTATTTTTTTATCTCAAACACATAGGAAATATAATTGGAACCTTATTCTACCATTTCATGGCCTAAAAAATGCAAAAAATGGCCTCTAAATCCATAATTAACCTGTAATAAAGAAACTTTCAGAGCTTAAATATATATATATATATATATATATATATTATGTGCTTTTAAGATAATAAAACACTTAATTTTAACTTTTCTTATCATATAAAATTATTTAACATAAAAATTAATTTTTTTAGAGATTAAATCGTTATCAATGATAGCTTTCTCTTTCTATAATGAAATCTAGCCACCTTGCTCTCTCCTTTATAAAAAAAACCTATAAAAATAGAAAAGTAAAGTATAGTATTAAAATATAATATTTAAAAATTATAGTTACTAGTTAACCTAATAACCTAAAAAAATGAATAATTAAAATGTACTTTTTAAATAAATAATAGAGCCTCATTCCCAAAGAACATGCCATTGTGCTTCAATTTGATTTGAAAAAAAGTTCAATGGTATAAAAAAATAATTTAACGATGAAATTAAATTATTTTAAAAATTACATTATTATAATTCATAATAAACTGTGAACAATAAAAAAAAGCTACACTGAAAAAGAGTTCATTATTTGTTCTCTTAATAACGTAATGAGATAATAAGGGGTACTTGTAACCAAGCTAATAACTCTAGTAGCAATGGATTGGGCGTCGACGTGTGCTCGTTTTCTTCTCTTTTAGTTTATCCATATGTAATGATTCCATCTAAATTAGTCTAAAATAAAATTATTAATTAGATGGTGGAATTTAGAGAGTACCAAACATATTTGTGACTTCCATCAAATATGTTGAAGAATCTTAATATTAATAAATAATTGTTTACACAAATAAAATTTATTAACTTGAATAGACTTGGGTTATTGACGTTGATAGAGTTAATTAGGTGACCAATTAAATTTAAAAAATAAATAAATAAATTGATCATGCTTCCATCTTCAAAGTCAAACTATTTTAGCCCCCCTGCCCTAATAAAAATTGATCTCATTGATTTCGTGGTTGTTTTTTCTTTTTACTCTATCTTTAGTAAAATCAATTTACATAAAATTGAGAAGGAATTAATTATATAACTCCAACCATCAATTTAGTTACTATTAATACGAATATATCATTTTTGTAATTGTAATGAATTTAATCTCGATAGAAGGCAAAACTAATTATTGTGAAATTAAAAGTAAAAGATGAGCTTAGATAGCTTAAGAATCGACCACATCAACGAGTGGCTATCAGACATTCGAAATAAACATAAGGACAACGGAGTTAGCTTGCAGCACAAAGTATAATATTAATTACCACACCAATCGATTCTTACACACAACAATCCAAATGCAAACATCTATTTCTATATGTTCTTTCCTATATACAAAATTCATACACCAATTTGTTTTTTTTTTTAAATAAAAGAATACACGTAAAATAATAAAAATCTAACATCCCTGTTTTACAATGAAATGATGAAACAATCCCAGAACTGAACAAAATCACAGGTCCCATCAAGTTAATTGGCACCGGAAAACCTCTCATAAAACACAGGTCCCATCAAGTTAATTGGCGTCGGAAAACCTCTCATAAAACACAGGTCCCGTCACCAAATTCAGGGTTACCACAAAGAATCATGGAGAAATCGATTTGAAGCTAGTTAAACCTTGGAAATACTTGAGCTCCAAGGAAACCTGCCTCTCAATCTGAAGTTGGCGACGGAAATTTTCAATGAACATTTCGGCTCTCTTATCAATATCATCTTCTGATTGATAGCTGATGGTTCTATGTAGCCCCTTTGAAGAACCCGGGTCTTCTGATTCTTCATCATCAATATCTTCAAAGCCCCTTAACCCTGGTCTATCATTAAAGCTAAGCTGGTGTCTCCTCGGGGATGCAGCACCAATCATAGAAGCCAGACGCCAACGACTCACATCAAGATTTAGTATGATCTTTACCTTCTTGATTGCCCTCCTTAAGCGGCTAAGCAATGACCACTTGTCCCTGCCCATGTTATCGAGCTGCAGAATTTATCACTAACAAAGAGATATGTGTGTGTGTTTGCTAGGTTATTAATGTGAGAATCGTGAGATTTAGCCTTTATATAGAGGATGGAGAAGTGGGGTCCAAGGAATATATAGAGTTTTGTGACAAGAGATTATTATATAAAAATCATCAAGTATAAAGCAATATGAAGTTGCTAGGCAAGTTTTCAGAGAGAACAAGGCGTCTGGAGATGAAAAACCGTGTTGCGATGATACGCTAACTTGGAACTTTAGAATTTAGGAATATGGCTGTGGTCAAAATCTTGAATGGTTCTAGTAGTAGCATGAGGTTACAAATATGCAGAGGCAGCTGGATCCTGGATGCTTTGCCTTCGTCACATCACAAAGGTGTTAAGCAATCCGATTTAGTGCATTAAGAAAATTATAGTCAAAAGAACATATTTATCCTCCAACTATCATCCCATTCCTTAATTATTGTTTTAAACATTCAGGAAGACAGTAAAAACCATGTTTTTTTAAAATTTAATTTTTTATTAAAATTTAATTTTTTTTATATATATTGAATTGTTTTAATGTGCTAATTTTAAAAATAAAAAAATCATTTTAATATATTTTAATAAAAAAAACTTTAAAAAATAATCTCACACTCCCAAACAAAGTCTAATTTTACAAACAAAATATAAAATGAAAACCATGAAATATTTTCATTTTTATCACAAATTTTGGTTCAGTATTTAATTTAAACGTATGTGTCCTTTTCCATCACATCATCACATGCATATTTTACAGTAAAAAATTCAGCAGAGAAAAAAATAATCTAAACCATGTATTTCTTCTATAATTTATATTAAACACAAATCTTATATTTTTCACCAATATAATCTCTTTTAACTACAAGATCAAATTCAAATTAAATAAAAAAACAATAGATGAGAAAAATAATAAAAAATTATTTTTTTAAGTTCACTCTCTTAAATTAACATTATAGTACATTACAAAGACCTTTTAAAAAAAAACTAAAATTAATGTTTGTACCGATATTTAATTTATCATTAATAATATAGAAACTGCGATTTAACAAATGAAACATCTTAATACCAATTAGAGCAAAACATTGAGTTTGGGATGCTAGCTTGATCAGATTTTATGTAATAGGATGAGTTCCCAATTGATATATATGTGGATTAATAGGAGACTCAACCCTTTTATATAATTCCAGTTTGAGCCATTATACAATGAATATCTTAGATTTTTCTTGATGTTTTAACACTTTCCTTTTGAATTAACAACGGATCCAGGCCATGAAGGTTTATTGGTAACATTTGATTGATGAGGGACTTAAAAGAAGAAAAAGGTTTTGTCTGGGGACTCAATTAAGAATTGTGTTGATGGTCGGGGATGAATCCATCCTTCCCCTAAAGTTAACTAATTTAACTAGTAGATTTGTGATGTGACCATGACAGAACCATAGTTTTAAAACGTGGTATGGGTTAAGGCAGGAATCGGAATGATTGACAATATTTTTACTAATGATTGTAGTGTTTAAGAGAATAGGGGATAAAGGAGGGCGAGGAAGCAGTGTCGAGAAGGGGAAAAAGGAGGGCGAGGAAGCTGTGTCGCGGGCTCATGCGGCATCCTCGAAAAAGTCATTACGTGAAGAGGTTTCTTTAATCTTTTTAAGAAGCTTCCCAACTCGTCTAGAAAAATCAGTTGAGTCACTCAAAAACCAAATGTGGAAAGGGAAAGGAGGGGAAGGATAATGTGGTTCCTGTGCACACAAAGGATCCCTTCCTTCCAAGTTCCAGGCGCTGCGCAGGTTAAGCTAGAGAAGGTAGTTTAAGATCCGCATAAAACTGCAGCCGTCTCGAGAATTATAATAAAAGATGACTTCATTGTTCATGAACTGTAAACTAAAGAACAAATTTCAGGCTGCTGGAATGAATTCAAATGATTAACAATCCGTATATTTGGACCTTTAATTTGGAACTGATCTATGTGGTTTGAGAAATGACGGCTAAACGCTTTTGACCCAATCGTCTTAAGGAGCCAGCCACTTGTATTTGAAAAATTCGCAGAAGCAGGGCTCATGGTTAATTAACTTGCCCGCCAAGCTCTGGTGGGGTCTAACAAGATGAAAATTTTATCATGGAAAGTGCTTTGAAGAACACCCAAGTGTTAAATTTAATGCAGAAAACCCAGCATAATACAATTAATTATGTTAGGGCTGACGTTCATAAGCAGCATGCAAAACGTGCACAGCAACACCTGCAAAATAATCCGGCTCCCTTGAATTCAAAAGAGGATCTGTACGAGGTAAAAAAAACAGCAATAAGAAACAAGATCAGTGATCCCAAATGAAATTAAATTACGTATCTGTCATTGTACAGACTGTTCATTTTCCTTTGAGTTTAGTCGCAGCAGATTTATTCTCATAGTCGAGGAAATGATAGTTACCACTTCTCTCAGCATAGGAGATCGACTTTCACGTAAGTATCTTTAGAGTATTGTGGCAAAAACAAACAAGTGGCAGAAGCTAGCAAGAAAGCTTCAGAAATCAGAGCAATCGTTGTGGGCATACAGTAATTCGAGGTATTTTTATATGTCCTTGTCAGCTCATCTTACTAGAATAATCATTGATACATGAAGGAAATGCCTGATTTACAAGGGGTGTGGTGCGTGACTCTTAACTAGAAAACTAAGAATATATACTCGTAGAAAATATATTAAAAAGATATATTGGTTAATCATAAAAAAAAAATTGTGTTCATGGCAAATACCCATAAAAAGATATATTGGTTAATCATAAAAATAAAAATATTGTGTTCTTGGCAAATACCGACGTGTTTTGACTCCTTAAATTTTGTTGTAAAAAAATCCTTTGAAATATGTGCTGGTATCTTAAAACATGTTTTCAACATGTTATATTTTTATTATATTCATATCTTTTTCAAATATTTCATAAGAAGGTAACCCTCAATAATCCTCCAACCAAAAATTAAAAATGCAAAAATTAGATCACTTGGTTAATTGTCTTCTTTTCACCGTGTTATTATTAAAATAAAACCAACAAGGAAATCACAACTAAGATTCAAAATACAAAAAAATACTTGAAAGATGATTAAGAATCACAACTAATAACAAAAATTAAAAAAGATTTTGTTTGATGATCAACTTTTATGTATTGTATATAAAGACAACTAGATAGTGCTAGTGATAAACATAAATTTAATAAACTTAAAAAACTCAAGATAATTTATATTAATATTTATATCTATATAATATATACTTATAATCATGGGGTTGACAATTATCTTTTTTTGTTGTTTTTTTAGAACTAATTTTATTTTTTAATTTTACTCTTTAATATTAGATTGTTTAATAATTGAGCTTTAAAGTTTAATTCAATTTGTTTTCAACGAGATTACCCTAATATCATAATTAGATCACAAATTTGATATGCTAACTTGGGTATGCTTAGGTTGGGATTTTGTGACCTTTCTTGAATTATATTTTTTCTTTGATTCCATTGAGTTTTGATTTTTTTTATTTTTCTTTATATAGAGCTGTCAAGTTCTCATTTAATTTTTGCTTTGTTGTCAAATAAAATCATGAAAACTTTTTTAGAATATTTGGAGAATATCTTTATGTG